AATTAATGCACTTTCTCTTTGTAATACTTTTAGGTCTAGGGTCAGGAAATACATGTCTGCAACGAAACTATAATGCTCAATCCTAACATAATAATCATTAATTGATTTAATTTTTTAATTAATTCAATTAACATAATAATTATATCAAAAATAATGATAGCTCACTTTTATAACCGTAAACAATAAACTGACCTTCTGTTTGTAAAGCACTCAAATTATTTGTTTTAAGTTATCGGAGCTATCGGAGCGGTCTAATACTATGTCGTGCCATATAATAATATCCATTGCATTGTATAATTTTAATAAGGAATGACTTCCATTTTTATCTGCTTAAATTGTTGATAGCTGAATAAACTTTTCTCCGTCCAATACTGCTCTGATAGTGTAACATTAGTCTTTGCAAGTTAGTTATTTCAATAAAATCATAGTCCATGATTCCAGTTCTTCGAAATACTAAAAATCAGTTGCGCACATTAGTTTTTAAGATTTATAATATGAAGTCATAGTTATATGAGAACCTGATTATTTAGTATAATTAACAATCCATTAATCTTCAGTAGTACTTAAATTATAATATTGAAATTATCTATTATTTCAGATATTTTGTAAACTGACCTACGCCAGCACCAGTCAAATCAAACCAGGACAACCCAAGCCTCCTGCACCAACAAATAGAACAGAAGCATTTCTAAGCTTTAGTTAGTTTTCCATTCAGAAATCAGGTACAATTATTTGTCGACTATATATTTCAATATCAAATCTGTCCGGTTGAAAGATAGTTACATATTCACCCATCTGAAATAGAAATTTTGTTTAATATACTTATTATGATAAATATAATTCTCATTCCTAAATTAAATGAGAATGTCTGACTGATTTGTAAGTTAAATGTACATATTGAATTATTGATTAATGTGTAAGGTTGTGTTTTGAATAACTAAGAGAAAATTACATACTGCATTATAGAAGTGATTTATTTGATTTTTACAAGATCCTTCATCAATTTTGCTTATTATAATTTTTATGAACAACAAATAGAACGGAAGCATTTCAAAGCTTTAGTTGGTTTTCCATCTGAAAATCAGGAACAATTATTTGTCGACTGTATCTCTGTATATCAAATCTGTACAATTAACAGGAAGTTCGACGTTCATTCATCTGAAATAGAAATTTTGTTTAATACACTTATTATGATAGATAGAATTCTCATTCCTAAATTAAATGAGAATGGCTGACTGATTTGTAAGTTAGATGTGCATATCGAATTATTGATTAATGTGTAAGGTTGTGTTTTGAATAACTAAGGCAAAATTACATACTGGATTATAGATGTGATTTATTTGATTTTTACAAGATCCTTCATCAATTTTGCTCATTATATTTTGTATGAACAACAAATAGAACGGAAGCATTTCTAAGCTTCAGCTGGTATTCCATCTGAAGATCAGGAACAATTATTTGTCGGCTGTATCTCTGTATATCAAATCTGTCTGATTAAAAAGAAGTTCCTTGTTCATTCATCTGAAATAGAAATCTTGTTCAAAACATTTAATATTATAGATATAATTCTTTTTTCTAAATTAAATAAGAATGTCTGACTGATTTGTAAGTTAAATGTGTTACGTATTGAATCATTGATGAATGTGTAAGGTTGTGTTTTGAATAACTAAGGCAACTTATATACTGAAGAAGTGATTTACTTGATTTTTACAAGATCTTTCATCAATTTTGCTTATTTTGGTTCATTTATAAACGGAAATTTTACTGCATGTAGTACAAGACTTACTGTTATATACCAGATATTCATAAATCATCGTAAACGTTCTTCGATCAAAGGCTATAACAACACAAACGGCTACAACAAGAATACAAGTTTTTACCTTTTATTCGCAGGTCATTTAGTTTGTCAGTTCTTTACCAAATATAAGTTGATATGAATCGCAAATCTCGTCCTGTAGCTTTTCAATTTCCTCATTAAGCATCATTTGAATTTATCTGTGATCTTTATAATTCTTCTACTTCAAGTTAAGCGGTCGAAATAATTAATGCACTTAGAGAGAATGTCAAAATGATACGGAGAAAACGAGATATACAATAAACGAAAGACACAAAGGTATAATAAATTATTTTTATATTTTCTAATAGGTGATACTTATCATACCATTATCAATAATTATAACTTACTTTTAATTTCTTATTGTAAGCTCGTTTACTCGCTTTTTTCAATTAGAATTATGCCTGACGTTGGTAACAGTTGACAGTATTGACAGTACAGACGGAGACCGACATGAAGTGCGCGCAAGTGAGACTCGATTGCAAGATCACAGATAAACAAGTTAAATTGTTTAGGGTCGCGAACTTATGGTGCTTTTTTATCTATGGTCGACTCGCTGGCCGCCAATGTAATTCGTCGGCCAAACCACGTGATCGTATGATCATCAGAAGCATTGCGCATTCTACAAATGCGCAAGTCTACTGTGGATTGCTCATAGGACTCGAGTAGCAAACAAGGAGATCTACCCTAGACAATATACTAATGGAGATCTACGGTTATAGAAAACTTATGAAATATATTTCGTATGTACTCAACGAAAAGTTACTCCACCGGTGTTCGATTTTTTAATGTGTATGCAATCGCCTAGTCATAGTTAAGTCTGCAATATATATATATATATATATATATATATATATATATATATATATATATATACTAGATGACCCGGCATATGTTATCCTGTCCCCAAAAGTTCCAAATTTTTTAATAACCTATAAAAAGTATATTTTAATACAAGGAAAATGTATTTCTATTGATACTGATACTGATACTGATCACTGATAAATTTTTTGGTCGTTATTGGCAAAAAACTGATCAAAGTGCTTTTGACCTCATCATCTGAGGTTCTAAAATTCCGGCTCTATGGTTCCGGCTTCTAAAATTCTTTTAGTGGCCGGAACAAATAATGGTCCGATGATGACGGCAGACCTGGGTAATATGATGAAAGTGGCATTGGTTTCCATTCAAGCTATAAAAGCTTTGGGTGATTGACCAAGCTTCTGTAAGGTCTTGCGTCGTCTTGATGCAGTACTATACTTCACTTATAGGTTAATTTTGACCTTTTCTATTGAAGTGCATCATTTGGTTTATCTAGCTGATGACATAAGGCATCTACATTAACCGTTGTTATCTTGGATAAGCTGAAAAACGAACAACTCCTTTAAAATCTTACCAAACATACTTTATCATCTTTTTTTGTCAGATTTTAGCTTTGTAACTGTTTTGAGCAGGTTTTTCTTTTTTGTTTCATAAGCAATCACGTGTATTGTATTCTTTACACTCAATTGGACACATCTAGTCACAATTTGCTTCAAAACCTGAACATTTATAAGGCTTTTCAGAGGCGAATAGCTGACTCCAGTGCGACGACACAGGTTTCTTTCAATGAGAACCATACATTGAGCTTCGAGGAAAATCCCAGACCTTTTAAGTGGTCATGAACTGTTAAATTTGATAAATTTAAACTCAGTGGGATATCATGTATTGTTATTTGCTGGCTTGTAGCAACTGATGCCTTTCTCGTATCTTTATCAGCTTCAACCGTACTTTTTGGACGTGGTGCAACTTGGACATCGAAATAGCAGGAATGAAATTTAGCAAACTTAGTTTTGGCACACGTCATTTCCATACACGATCAATTTGATTTTGACTTTCAGTATTCTTACTTTTTCTATAGCAATAGAGTAAAATATGTCGAAAATGCTGCTTAATTCTTTCCGTATCCAAAGTGGCATCATTTAAAAACTACTGCGTGTAATTGATTAGAATTTCTTACACCTAAACCTTAAAATATAAGCTTTCAAATCGTATAATATTTGTAGGGCTCAAGTGTGATTTTTGGTTCAAAAAATATATTTAAATACTAGGTGGCAAAAAATTGAAGTGACTTTCTGAATAACCTTACAGTTTTGCTCATCCTGATATTAAAACAGGAAAAACAACAATCCTTAGTTCATAGTAATTGCAATACTATGTTCTTGACAAATATCCTGAAGATTAAACATATTAGTTCCAAAACGTATTTTATTTACTATATACATGTAATAATATATATATATATATATATATATATATATATATATATCATTACTTTGTCATAACATATCGAATCATTATTAATTATTCAATCATATCAAAATATTCAATGGAAAATAGATTAGACATAGTCGTTTTTATTCTATTTTATTATTAATATAAATAATTACAAATACAAAATTCTTATCACGTACAATTTCATATTTTTCTATAAATATTTGAGTATCATATTTCTAAGACCTAATAAACTTAAATAAATAAACAAAAGAAAAAATTGATACTTAGGATATACTGAAATGCATTATAAATGACAAATTATTTTTTATATTCTCATTTTGTTAAAAAAAAATTCTGGAAAGTCATATTATTGGCCAGTCACTCTTATGATTTATGATTTATGATTTATTTGAAATCATTGATCTGTGTGCATAGTCTGCACACATATCAATGCCATGTATGTCCTCAGAATAGAGGTAAAATGTTGGTTTTGAGGTAAAATGCCACTCACAACATTTTTTTTTATTTCGGCAGAGCCTTAAAGTATCCTAAATGTCTTGATTTATGAAATTATGACTTAAAGGTTGCAATCCAAATAGCTAATGGTCAAAGATTAATATGCATGACGAGTATACTCGTCAATACACAAAATTCTGCCACTTTGCTAATATTTGTCAATAACAGTTAACTGGCTCATCACACATGAATCTTTTTTATTTAACGAATTCCAAACTATAATCAAGTAAATTATTTAGAAGAATAAAATAAAATAAATTATCCAGACAAACCATCATATAAATACTGTTGGTGACTAAAGATGCTGTCATTTAATGTTGGTCCTTAAAATCAATAGAGACATAAATCTCTGAATTCTTTCCAATCATTCCTTCGACACCAGTATACATTTCTTTCCTTACAATATAGGTAAATCAATATATTTCGATAGTTTATTAGCTATTTCTTCATCAGTCAATAATTTTGGAGGTGGAACGCTTTTTAAATCTCGACATCTTTCTCGGTCTGAATTCGATGCCCAATCACAAACGTGGCTTATGGTGTGGTAAACGGTTCCTTCTCGACAGGTGAAGAGAACTGCTTCTCCGTGGACACAACGGTAATACTAAAAAAGTAATAAAAATATTAACTTATTGATTTTTTTCTATTGATTTTAATTGAGTAGAGGAGAGTGGGTACGGATGTGCCAGGGTACGGCAGTGTCTGTTGCCATACCAACTAAACCATCCTGATTTTGAGATAGTCCAAAGGGAGAAACTTCTCCTATTACCACACCTAATACTATAAAACTATATTGATTTTGAGATAGAGTCTAAAGAGAGAAACTACACCTATTAGATGTAACTCAACATTAATATACATCAATCTATCGCCTTTTACCTTGTTGCAATCCTCATGAGGCAAATAGTCTTCCTGCGAACAATCTACATCAGTTGCAGTAGTATCTTGGCTACCAACTTGGTTGTCCTGTTCGCTCGGCTTCTCTTCTTCGTGATGGTGGTGATGGTGTTCTGTAGTCGTTGTGGCAACAGGAGTGGTTGCCGCCACAGTTGTGGTTGTTGGTTTCGGTTTTCTGGTTGGTTTGCGGCTCGGTTTTGGTGCGTGGGTTGTGGGAATGTATGGTGTGTCGTCTGGTTCTTCTGAAGGAGTGCTTGGTGGTTTTGCCCATTCAGGCTGGGGAAAGGATAATATTTAGATGACATATCATTGTATATATATATATATATATATATATATATTCTTTCCTTCTACTTACCCTGGGAGTAATCCGACTCGAATCAAATTCAGGAACAATATAATTCTTCATGTAATCGTGCATGATGACCGCCAAGGTGTGTTTGTCATCAGAGCATACTCCTTGGAAATCGTCCATGTCGATGGCCCAAGTCATGGCACCTCCATAACCCTTAGATTTAATAAATTCCATCTTCAGAGCCACGGATTTCGGGTCTTCGTAGCCAACCCATTGATTTCCTAGAATGAGTTATTTGTCCAAAATAGGATACAAAGTAAAATATTTCTAAGATTCGATTTTGGGACGATAATTAATATACTTTTACGTATGTAAAAAAGGAAATTTTATAACATGTTTTTGACAAAATGGTATGTCACATTTTCTAGTATGGTTTTGAGAACAAATAGAGAGTATAAAATTAATACAAATAAAATTATAATAATTTGTAAGCTCAAGGTCTCAGATTTCTCAAAGATGTTGCTTTGAAAACCCCAGAAAGATTTATTATTTAGTGCATATAACTAACAATGTATTTACCTTTATAAGCATATGGCACTTTTCCATGTTCGTCCCATTTTTTAGTCCAGCCTTTGGAAGGATCATCAACTTCTAAGCATATCTATTAAAATTATAAAGTTTCATCAGCTCACTCTTATTTTGTGCATATATAATTTATAATAAAATATAGTATTTTATTCAAAATTTTTATGCCTGATTGAATTATGGATTTTTAATCCATTGTATGTAAAATATTGTTTACCTCATAATAAGAAATAAATCCGGTAGCGTTAGTGTAAGGTCCAGGTTCACCTCCTCCAGCTTCTTTGTTGATGTAGGTTCCCAACCTGTAGTCCTTATTGCTGTTGCTCAATGTGAAGGATCTTCCATAAAATGGAACACCAACGACCAACTTGTTTGCTGGACAACCCATATCAACCCATAATTGTAATCCATCATTCTATATGAGATAAACAGGTTGAAATTGGAGAGAAAAAAGAAACATTATTAATTTCTTTTAACTATTAAGTTATTATTAATTTATTAAAGAAACAGTTGACAAAAATTATTATAAATTGAATTTTGATTAAAAAAAAATGGTACTAAATCTTTCTTGTTTCAGAGATTATGGTACGTGTGTCTAATTAATATTGAGCAAAGTTTCAAATGTTCTTTCTTTTGAAATCGTATTTAGTTTGCTTGTTTGTAGTGAGTTTGTTTTTTGAAAATCTTTATAATTTTTGTCGTAATTTTTTCTTACCACATTGAGTTTCTCATAAGCATATTGATCATGTGGCCTTCTGTACAAGGGACTGTGGGTATCAGCAAACCCTGCCCAATTTCCTCTCAAATCGTAAGACATTACGTGGATAGCATCTAATAATCTGGAAACAAACATATAAAATCAGATAGTATTGTAATAATTAATTTTATTAGTATTTTTAATAAAACGTTTTCAAGAAAAAACGATTTTTTAGGGAAAAAAGTTTGGAGAAAAACTGTTTTGCGTTTAAAACTTCATGGAGAAAGAAAGAGAGGAGTATCGTGGTTTGGCAGCTATATCTCCGAAAATAATTTAAATTTTGAAAAATCCTTTTGTACAAATATTTTGATTAGTTAAATTCCAAAATATATAAAAAACAAAACAATTAAAAAAATCTTGACCAGAATATTCTATTATATTTTCTATTAATCTATTCTACTCACTCGCAAAGTTCTGGTACATGATATCCTTCCTGCAGCCTAAATTTGGCAATCGGGACAGCCATGGTGATCTCCCAGTTTTTGCCTTGTTTGTTGAAAGCCCTTCGCAATTCTTGGACAAAGTATAAAAATTTGTCTTTGTCGGAAAAACTGCCACCTCTATCAGCAGCACCAGGATACTCCCAATCCAAGTCGAAACCGTCGAACTTGTATTCGTTCATGAAATCTTGAAAGTAATAATAATAAATAAACTTGGTGTAAGTGGCATTTTGTCTTGGGACAAGTCGCATGAACTTCTCGATAGGTGTAAACAACCGCCTTAATAATTTTTTTTGTACATTTTTAATTACAATCTGTTACAATTACTTAGGGCATTCAGTAATTGTTTTGACTTTTATTATACGGATTTTTGAATGGATGGCAACCCAGTAGTTCTCCAGTACGATTATGACTAATTAACTATACTCGAAGTATTTGCTGACATTTTTATTATATATGTGCAACTATACCCACGAAAGTCGATCTTCACTTGAGGCTATATTTGAAATCTATAACTTCAAGTGAAAATTTGATATCAAAGCTGCCTGATGTCGGGCTTTGGTGGTAGCGGGAATCGAACCAGCGAACCCGGGACTAAGGCGGGCCGCCTTAATAAATATAAATTGAAATTTAGCTATTTAGATAAAAAAAAATAACTGTTTATTTTAAAACTAAAGATTTTGCTTTTACTAAAAACCAAACAGTGCAATTTTCAGTCGATAGGCTTCAAACAAAGTTATAGTAGTGGAAATACAGACAAAATGGCATAAGTATATGAACAAAATGTCGACATTTTGTGATAGTGGCCTTTTTCAAGAATTGGGCTAATTTTAATTTAATATGGATCGATTAACCATTGGGTGGCCATCTAAAGATACGAAGTAAATAGTTTCAGCCCATCAGCTTATAAGAAGTAAGGTTATGATTGCTGTTACGATATGAGAAAAAAAGCCATATAATTTACATTTGTGCTTAGTAGACATCAATAAATTAACATAAACAATTGACCATGGGTAGAAGTCATCACTATTACATAAGAGGATATTCTGGTCCATAAGCATGAATTTTGTGCGCTTTGTGAAAGGTCGTAAAAAGCGCAAATGATATTATTGCTATCTATATTTTACAAGATATTAATTAGTGTTTTGAAAATATAAACAAATTAAAATTAGAATTGGTCATAGAATTTTAAGTATAATAATTGGTGGAGTGTGAGTTCCCAAAAAACTGGCGCCTGACCATATCCATGATTTTGGTTCTCCTAAAAATCTGAAGAAAGAAAATCAAATATTTTGCTGCACCAATAACAAAAGTCAGCCCTATTAAATAAATTTCAATAATAAAATCATCAATTATAATTATCAATATACAAAAAAAGGATAAGTTTCAGTCTAACAGTTCAGTTTCAGCTTACAGGACTTAAGGTTCTGATTGCTGTTAAGATATGAAAATAATAAAAAAAGAAAAAAAAAAGTTCAGACATTTTAAGATGACATCCACATCCCACAGACAAATGTTTTTAATTCTCATCTCAAACGTCTAAAGTAAATCATCCGATGTCCCGTTACTCATTCATTATAACAATATCTACAAATTAAAGACAATTTGCATTCGTGAATATTTTCTATTTCTAGAATATAATTAGCAAAATAAAAGTTCTGTGAACTCATCTATTGTCTATTAATTATCGACTGGGAATACGTAAAGAAAACGTTAACATTATGTTAAATTTCCTACGTTAAAAATATTGTGTAAAAGTCTCATCAATTAGCATCTCACGATCAGTGTTGAATAAAATAGACAAATAAGATTTTAGATGCGTCATGGATAGATAAGCAAGAGATTTTGGTTCTTGGAACGGAGATGAGTCGAAAAAATATAGATTTTTTCCGGGTATTTTTTTTCTAACGCGTTTTAAGAAGAAAACTTATTATGCGGGTTTGGGACAATATGTTTCAATGTGCAGGGGTCGGCATAAAATAGCGTATTATGCAAGACATTGTAAGTGATCATCTTAACGGGATTCTACTGTATATATCAATATTTATATGTCTATTTATTTGACCAATAGTGCTTATTAAATTTATTATTTTTAACTACTGGTTTCACGTGTAAGGCGAATAAAAAAATATATTTTTTTTAGTTTTAGTAATCGGACAAATAAAAAATACATTTTTGCATACATTTACATTTTGAAAGATTCTTAACATTTTGGTATACTTTAGAAAAAATAGCTGTATGTGTGTACGTATGTACGTGCGGATACAAATTTTCATCGACGATTTCAAGAGCATGGATTAACTGATTTGAACAATTCAAAAAGCATTCGATTTCTATTGATGGGGAGACATGTCAATAAGCTACTGGCAAAGGCAGGTCTAGCTGTTTTGAAGATACGGGGCAACAAATGTAAAAAATGATAATTTTAGTTTGTGAGAAGTGGTAAATAAGTAGACAAGTTGGCAGGTAAACAGGTGGAATGGTAGGCAGGTAAACAGGTGGATACGTAGACAATTAAATAGGTACACAAATAGACAAGCAAACAGGTTGACGTGTAGACAGGTAAACAGGTACAATTAGATCAAGACAATTAGACAAGCAGATCATCTACTACTTACACATATCAGGAAGTTCGTGCAACTTTCCACCAGAAAAAATTCCTCTTACTACTAGTTAAATTTAGTATCCAACGTTTTTCATAAAAGTTTGCTGATTTGTCGTAAATTCGAATAATTAATTTTTTTATTAAATGCTTAGATTTTTATTAATTAATTATTCAATAAATTAATTTTTATAGACTTACCAACCACACTGCGAATAAAGGCTGATCTCTTCCTCTTTTCGGCCACCATGGTCGAATATTTTTTGCCGCCTTCAGCCCATCCTCCGACGGCTATTTGTAATTTCACATTTGGATGAGTTTTTCTCAAATTTGTGAAATTTTTGAAACCATTGTCATCTATGTCCAACTGGAAATGTAAATTTAAATATTCTTTATTATTAATCTCACGTCTTCCTAAAAGTTTCATTAAGGGACCATAACTTCTGCATCGGTAAGACACAAATAATTTACCTTTTGTGAACGTTAAAATATTTATGTTTGTTAAAGTTAAAGAGAGAAAAGTTATTTTTCATATATTCTCATGCAAATATAGAATTGATACAATTGTATTAAATGAAATGTTGCACGCAGAAATTATTACTATTCAATATTTATATAATAAATGGTACATGAAAAGGCGGAAAGGAAAGTTCTTTGATCGATCACGTATTATTATTATTGTTGATAAAACACAATTAATGTAAATAAGTCTTTAATTATACTATATTAACTTCCCGAAGGAGAAGTTTGTTTTCATCAAAAAATCCGATTCGCTAATTTTAAGTTTTCTCGACGTTTCGAGTCATTCTGAATCGAATGAGACCAAATTTAGAAAAAATATATGTGTGTGTGTGTGTGTGAACAGATTTTTTGGCGTAAATCAACGGATTTTTTTTTGACAATAGATACTATAGTCTTATAGATCATACTAAAATATTACGGCCCTACGACAAGTCGTTTAATTCTAAAAATCCTTCAAAGTTTGCAAAAATTAGAATCGTTTTTTGGCATTTGTCAAAATTAGGCTTTTCATCAACGTTTGCTCAAAAACGTCTGAACCCATTCAAGAATTTTAAAGCCAATTGATGTATCTCAATGAGGACTATCGTTTGTCAGTTTTGTGCGACGATCTTCCGAGCCGTTTCTTTGTAAATTGGAAAAAAAGTGTTAAATTTTTCGTCCACATTTAGGCTCATACTACCGAATAGATTTAAAAAAAATAAAAACTGTTGGAAATATATTAGTTTGGAACGACACTGATCAGTTTTAGATGAAAATCTACCGAGCCGTTTTCTTGTAATTAACTGTTGCAAAAAAAATTTGAGCCGATTTTTATGGAACTTTTTTTGCAATATATATTATGGTCTTATAGAACTTACTCAAATATTACGGCCTTACGATAAATAGTTTGATTTTAAAAATTCATCAAAGTTTAAGAAAATGAGTAGTTTTTTTGACGTTTGTTAAAATTAAAATTAGACGATTTACTTGGTATAACGATAGAGTACTTGGTCTTAATGAACATACTGAACCATTAAAGTCCTACGGAAACAGGTTCAATTATAAAAATTGTTGATTTTTGAAAATTTGTTTTTAGAGAATACTCCGAGTTAACGTGTTCGTTCGTTTTCAATTATGTGTAATATATTCACTTTTAATGACTCATAAATTAATTTATTTTTTATTGATCAAGTTGATTATTTAGGTACACATATCGGGGAGTTCATGTAACTTGCCTCAAGGCAAAATACCAATACCAACTAGTTTATTTATTTTGTTTCTCTAATATTTGGTTATATTTCTATGTAAATTATCTGTACAGTTCCCCTGACTGCATAATACCATACACCACTAGTTTTTTAATAATCTAAATAAATCTGTTTACCTCCGGGTCGATGACCAGCACGCTCCAGTCTTTGTCGTCTACTCCGATGAAAGAATAAACTATATGGGTACACAAGTCAACTGGTATGTCTTCTATGCCATATCTGCCTATTCCGGGCCTGTAAACTGCCCAATTGCTGAAGTAACATACTATCCTGGCCTTCTGGTCTGAAGCTTCAACTGGAAAAAATAAGAAAAAGAACATTTAGATTTTATTTGACATTTGCTCCTATTTTATTAGGGAACATCAGCAGATTTGATTGTGATCAGACGTTTCGGTATGATATTTAGAATACAACATCAATCATAAAGTAAGCATACGTAAATAAAAAAACCAAATCAAGAGACGTGCGATTTGTATGTGGTTTATTACCCTTAAAAATCTGGAAGAATTTCAAGTTAAGTAATAATAACTATTTATTTTTGGATATTATATACTAGATTGCGCAAAATAATTTATGAAATTTGATGCTTTTTCGAAATATCAAAACCATACAGCATTTGTAGTCATATATCCCATAAAATGCATGTATAAAAGCAGAAAAAGAAAAGTGAACATATTAATTGGGTACCATATCAGAAGAATAATTGAATTGAACCATATGAATGCAATACCGTTAAAAAAGCATTCTGGTATTTAGTACTTTTGCTCTTAATACCGGTAATATCGGTAAAACATCGGTATCAGTATTATTAAAAAAAATAAACATAATTAATATTCACTTGTACAAATGTGTATTAAACACAACTAAACAGCAAAATATTTAAAATTTTTCTTGAGTAAATAATAGTAATCGAAGAAAAAATCAAAAATAAAAATTTTGCAGATCTTCAAGTTTCAAAGATTTCAAAATATTTTAGAATACCTTAGAAGGTGTGAATTTATATCTGTTTGTATATATGTGCGTTTATATGTACGGATATAATTTTTTATCAACGACTTTGAGAGCATGGGTCAACCGATTTGAATGATTCAAAAAGCATTCGATTCCCATTGACGTGCTGATTCGTTTTTAGCAAATGCAGCAGCAACTGTATCGAAAATTTTGAGCAAAAACTACACAAATGGGAATAAAGTTGAATTTTTAACTTCCCGTAGGGTAAGTTATAGTAATCGAAAAAAATCGAAAACGAAAATTTTTGTATATCTTTACGTTTTAGAGGTTTCTGAACATTTTGGCACACCTTAGAAAAAATTGATGTATACGTGTGTGTGTGTGTGTGCGGATACAAATTCTCGTCGACGATTTCGGGAACACGGTTCAACCAATTTCAATTATTCAAAAAACATTCGATTCCTATTGCTTGACAAATGTGCTGATTAGTTTTTGGCAAAAATCTTAATTCAGTGTTTGAGAGAACGGAACGTCCGATTTGAATAATTCAAAAAACATTTCACTTGTATTGATAAAATGAAAAACAGATTAGACCTTTGGGAAGACAGGTCTAGCAGTTTTCGGAGATTCAGAAAAAAAGTTGAAAAAATGCCATTGGGCGGTCAAAAATGATCATTAGACATCAAATTGTCAGATATTTTATGAAAATTTTAATAATAAGCATAATTATTTTATATATTAAAATTTATGAACAAGTCTAATAGGCACTTAAATTTAAAAGTAACGGTTATATCTTCATACCTGTATTAATTGAAGAGATTGCGATGGCGCACAAAACGGCTAACAAGTTCCAGTGTCTTCCTGAAATTGGAACGTTTACAAATAGTCACAAAATCACTACAAACATTTTAAATAAATTTATATATATAAAAATATTTAACTCAAGATCGATTTTTTGTTGTTTATATAAAAAATAGTAAAACGTACCCATGTTTCCAGCGACACAAAAACTACACTGTACTGATTCACAAAGAGTTCAGGTTTTATATACACGCACACCACTTGACGCACTTTCTTCACATACTCATTTCAATAATAAAGGTACCTATACACACCTGTATGTATATATATATATATATATATATATATATATATATATATATTAGCTGACCCAGGAAACGTTGTTTAGCCATACAAAATAAATAATTTAAGAAAAATTTTAGTATAAAAAATAACTAAGTAATTCTGAATGTAATAGAATCTAACTTAGTCTTAAAGTAGCTTCAATATAACATTATCATATCAATTATCAAATTAAGAAGATCTCATTAGAGTTCTTCTTAGACATCGCTCTCATGAGATATTTGCAAATATAGCCAATTCAGCTTATGGGAATCTCTATGTATTTCTGATTGATGAATAAAACAGAGTAAAAAAAATCTGAATGTCGAAATATTTGGTATATAAGTGAAGAAGGGGTACTTAACACAAATTAAATTGATGATTTACCCACTGCAATGCATGCCACATCTTGGGGCATATTAGTAGTCATTGCTAATGCCAACCTAATCTGAAACTAATTTTGTTAATTGATTTGATACATTTTCATATTCAAAGTTTTGATCTATTTTTACTGCATTTTTATTAATTCACTAATTATTAATTACGGAGCAATAAAAATAGTTAAGTTGTGATGAAATAAATTAGAGTTAAAAGAAAAACATTCTTTAATAATTATAAGTTTTGACACTTGGTGTGTGTTATAATCCAGCTAATCAACCAGGACGAAAACGAAAACTTAAAACATCAAAGTGAGTTTTAACTAGTGGTGCATGGCGTTGTGACTTAAGGGAAATTGCTGAAACTTGCAGTACCAAAAATTTATTAAGTTTTAAGTTAAAAAAAAAATATTTTATTTTTTTGAAAAAAGTAGATTTTTAAAATTTTTAAAGTTTTTGAGCTTTTTGAAAAATTTGAATTTTTTTCATATTTTGGAAAATTTGAACTTTTTTTAACGCAATGTATCGCGATTCCAAAATATTTCAAAGTATAAAAAAAATTCATATTTTTCTAAAAGATCAATTTTTTTCAAAAATTTTAAAAATCTTAAAAATCGGTAATGCGGTATAACGGAACATTGGTACGGAACCCAGAGAAATGTAAACAAAATTTATGTGTATTATTATTACCGTCACAAAATATCTAATAGTTTGATGTGCATATGTCTAATAATTTTTTTGTCATCCAAATGACATGTTTTTAACTTCCCGAAGGAGAAGTTTATGTTTTCATCAAAAAATCCGAATCGCTAATTTTATGTTTTCTCGACGTTTCAAGCCATTCTGAATCGAATGAGACCAAATTTGGAAAAAGTATGTGTGTGTGTGTGTGTGTGAACAGATTTTTTGCCGTAAATCGACGTTTTCTTCAAAACGGCTGGACCGATTTCAAAAATTTAAAAGCCATTTGATGTATCTCGATGAAGACTATCGTCTCTGAGGTTTGTGCAGCGATCGGCCGGGCCGTTTCTTTGTAAATTGCAGAAAAGTGAAAAATTTTTCGCCCACGTTTTAGCCCGCAATTCTGAATCGATTCTGAAAATTCAAAAACCATTCGATAGATATTGGTTGGGAATCGTGCTGATTAGTTTTTGGTAAAGATCGGCCGGGCCATTTTCTTGTAATAACGTTTTTAAAAAAAAAAATTCGACGATTTTTATGATTTTTTTTTTGACGGTAGATACCACAGTCTTCTATATCATACTAAAATATTATGGCCCTACGACAACTGGTTCAGCTTTAATAATTCGTCAAAGTTTGCAAAAATTGGTATCGTTTTTTTGACATTTGTCAAAAATTAGACTTTTGATCGATGTTTTCTCAAAAGCACCTAAACCGATTTCTGAAATTTAAAAGCCATTTGATGTATTTCGGTGAGGACTATCGTTTGTCAGTTTTGTGCGACGATCTGCCAAGCCGTTTCTTTATAATTTGAAAAAAAGTGTTAAATTTTCGTCGACATTTAAGCTCATCCTACCGAACCGATTTTAAAATATCAAAAAATGTTCGAAAGATATTAGTTGGAAATGGTACTGATTAATTTTAGGTGAAAATCTACCGAGCCGTTTTCTTGTAATTAACTGTTGAAAAAAATATTTAAACCGATTTTTATGGAATTTTTTTTAGCGATATATACCACGGTCTTATAGAACTTACTGAAATATTACGGCCTTACGACAAATAGTTTGATTTTAAAAATTCATCAAAGTTTGAGAAAATGAGTAGCTCTTTTGACATTTGTTAAAATTAAAATTAGACTATTTACTTGGTATAATGATAGAGTACTTGGTCTTGAACATAATAAACCATTAAAGTCCTGAAAACTGGTTCAATTATATAAAATTTGCTTTTAGAAAATACTCCGAGTCAAAGTGTTCGTTCGTTTTCAATTATGTGTAATAAATCCACTCGGAATACTTTTAATGACTCATAAATTAACTTATTTTTTATTGATTACGTCGATTATTTAAATATATCGGGAAGTTCATGTAACTTGCCTCAAGGCTAAATACCAAACCAACTAGTTACTTTTTTCATTGGATCTCTGAAACCGCTAGACCTGCCATTCAAAAGTTCTTCTTTTAGCAGAAAGGTTTTTAAATCATTCAAATCGGATGCTTAGTTCTCTCAGAAACTGTCATTTTGTGCACATTTAGCTCTGTATCTCCGAAATGGCTGGACCCGCCTTTGCCGAAATCTAATCACCACTTCTACCCATCATTACGAATCGAACATTTTTAGATCAATCAAATCGGTTGATCCGTTCTTTTAAAAACTGACATTTTTAGCAGTTCTTGCTTCATATCTACGAAGCCACTGGACCTGCCCTTGTCAAAATCTAATCAGCACATCTACCTATCAATAGGATTCGATTGCTTTTTGAACTTTTCAAAACGGTTTATTCATACACCCGAAATCGTCGACAAAAAATTGTCTCCACACATACACACACACATATGCTCATACACACACACATCCATATTTTCAAGGTATGACAAAATGTTCAGAAACCTCTAAATGTGAAGATATGCAAAAATTCTCATTTTCGATTTTTAGCCCATTACTTTCTAGGTTAATAAATGAACCTAAAAAGTAAAAAAATATTTTATATTTCTATAGCTTTATAAACTAGCTGTAAGTGGAATTCTGTCTTGAGGCATTTATGGCATCGTGCCTTAAGGCAAATTGCTGGAACTTCCCGTACCGAAATGTTCGAGGAATACTGAATGTTTTCAAATAGATTATTATAAATATTGTAACATTGTCTAATATTTATGAGAATTATATAAACTGAATTGCAGAGTTGAAAATATTTGTAAAGTATATTAGAACTATAGCCAGAATTAAAAATAAAATCTGAAATATTTTTGATAAAACTAAAAAAAAAAAAAAAAAAAAAAAAAAAAAAAAAAAATTGAACAAAATTTTTTTTCAAAATCAATTATTTTGTTAAGACAAGCAGAAAGTTCTTTGAATCATTTAAATCGGACGCTTAGTTCTCTCAAAAACTGCCATTTTTTACATATTTAGCTCCATATCTTCGAAATGGCTGGGCCTGCCTTTGCCAAAAACTAATAAGCACTTCTCCCAATCATTACTAATTGAATGCTTTTTAGATCATTCAAATCAGATACTCCGTTCTCTCAAAATTCGATTTCTATTTTCTGCACTCTTTGCTCCGTATCTCCGAAACGGCTGGACCTGCCTTTGCCAAAAACTAATCAGCTCTTTTCCCTATCAATAGGAATCGAATGTTTTTTGAACCATTCAAATCGGTTGATCCGTGCGCCCTAAAACGTGACTGGAAATTTGTATCCATACATACATACACACACACACACACACACACACACACACACACACACACACACATCCATTTTTTCTGAGGTATGCCAAAACGTTCAAAAACCTTCAAAACGTCGAGAAATGTTAAAATTTTCAATTCCGATTTTCGGCCCATTACAATAACTTACCCTACGGGAAGTTAAAAAATCGATTTTGAGTAAATAAGGGGATCAGGGCAAAACCAAGGGGTCTATAACATAAAATAATTTGAGAACCTATGCGTTAGTGTATGAATAAAGTGTGACAAGTTAGGAGAATATGTGATTTAGGGCATAAAATCACTAATGACAAATTAATTTTATTTTAATCCTGCCTAGTTGCAAAAAGTTTTTCTTATTATAATTTTCTTTAGTTCAATTTTGTTTCCAGATAGTTGTGTCTTTACTGAATTTTACTACCGACATAAAAATAAATATTAGTAGAAAATATGTCATGAATGAGTCAATAATAGAATTAAACAGAAAAAAGTTAAGATATTTATCTTGAAACAAACTCAGATAGATGTTAATTGATTCATTCAATAAATAAAATATGTCATATTGCCGAACAAAAACAGTAAATTTTAATATTTTGTACAAATATTTTATTTTAACAAAATTCTAGTGAATATCAAATGAAAATTAGTCAAATTAATTGGTATTTAGAGAAAAATTTATTACTTTGCTATTTTAAATAATATAAAAAAAGAATCATTTGATGATTAGGAGTTGATGCTGTAGATGTACCACCAAATTGGTAGATCAGTGGTAATTGCTTATTCTAGTAAATAATACTTGCAAATATTTAATATATTAAACAAAAATAATATAATACAAAATATTAACTTCTTACTTCGAAACTGCATAATGAATAATGTGGATACATTTAAACAATTTCAAAATGAAGTAGAGTTGTAAATAAGAAGTCTCACCTTAATTGAAATATATGGAATATACGTGGATAAAAAAAATACGAATATATAATATTAAAAATTTATTTATGTATCTATTTATAGGTTAGAGCAGGGCTTAAAGGTCAGAGGATAAAAAGGTCTACTACCGATATCTCAAAAAGTTAAGAATTTTTCAACAATATAATTTGAAAGTAG